GACAGAGTAAAATAAGAAAGAATGGTGCATTACCACTTTAATTAAAACAAGATGCATGGGCAGATTAACCCATTGAGTGTCAGCACACTCCATTTGACAAGTAAAATCATCTGTCATTAGACAGAGTAAAATAAGAAAGAATGGTGCATTACCACTTTAATTAAAACAAGATGCATGGGCAGATTAACCCATTGAGTGTCAGCACACTCCATTTGACAAGTAAAATCATCTGTCATTAGACAGAGTAAAATAAGAAAGAATGGTGCATTACCACTTTAATTAAAACAAGATGCATGGGCAGATTAACCCATTGAGTGTCAGCACACTCCATTTGACAAGTAAAATCATCTGTCATTAGACAGAGTAAAATAAGAAAGAATGGTGCATTACCACTTTAATTAAAACAAGATGCATGGGCAGATTAACCCATTGAGTGTCAGCACACTCCATTTGACAAGTAAAATCATCTGTCATTAGACAGAGTAAAATAAGAAAGAATGGTGCATTACCACTTTAATTAAAACAAGATGCATGGGCAGATTAACCCATTGAGTGTCAGCACACTCCATTTGACAAGTAAAATCATCTGTCATTAGACAGAGTAAAATAAGAAAGAATGGTGCATTACCACTTTAATTAAAACAAGATGCATGGGTAGATTAACCCATTGAGTGTCAGCACACTCCATTTGACAAGAAAAACCATCTGCCATTAGACCATAGATATCTTATACACTAGATAGTGCATCTGATTATTCTGCAATTCAAAAATTGAAGCCGTGATTGCAGTCTCAGGTCGTTACTATGAAATGAGAAGATTCGTATATTTCCTATTTCTTAAACAGGGAACTTAAATATCAAGTTAACCCTATTCCAAATACATTTTTAAAGTATTCAAATGAGGAAAGTTATTGCTTTTTAAGCGTTTATTAGCGAGTGGGAAACTCCAACATGGCCACCATCTATTCAAATGGCGGTAACCGCTGGAATATTCTTGGCTTCAATTTTACTAAAAGAGATGCGCTATCTAGTGTATATAAGATATCGATGCATTAGACAGAGTAAAATAAAAAAGTAGGGTTGTCTATTACCACTTAAAACTTGACCTTCCGTAGGCGTAGCAAAGGGGGAACCACAGGAAAGTTTTCAAAAATTCAAAAACCGCCTCAAACTAGTCCAAACTTTCTGAAAATTGTCGAAAACATTTCCCTCCATCAAAAGAATTACTTTCGATCGATAAAAACAGGTTTTAAAAATTTTTGGTCAAATGCTTTACCACAGGGTACCTTAGGCCAAATAAAAATAATAGTTGGTTTCAGGTTTCACAGCCATGTTTTATATGAGTAGGTAGGTCGGAAAAAACATTTTATTTTAAAAAATAACGCCACCATTGTTTATTAGTAATTGGCGTTCGTCGTTTTTCAGCCTTACTAGCTGCCATGTCAGAATAATGTACGTTTTTTAATATTTATTCAACTGTTCTTTGTGTAAAATTAATATTAACATGATTAGATAATGATTAAATTATAAGCAAATAAATGAGTCTGTTGACTATTTATACATTCTGCTATTTACGAAAAGATGGTCTTCTACTGGGAAATATCAATAAAATGTTTATGGTCGGTCTTATCTGGTCTGAAACCAACCAAACCTTGGTCTTGGTATCTTGGTCTGAAACCAACTGGACCGATGGCACAGGCGACAGTAGACAAACAACAACAATGGTTTGGTTTTCTTATTATTAAATTATACAAACGCGAAATTTGCATAAAATATGTATATATAATCTGAAGCTATAAGGGACCGGTCATTATTTATGGAAGGGGGGGGAGGGGAATTTTTTCTTTTCTAAATTTTTAAAATTGAAAGCCCCCCCCTAAAAGAGCAGAAATTTAATGATGACCCCCCCTGCATATTTGAATATTTTTCTTTGACCCCCCCCCCCATTTCTCTTTTACTCGTCAAATGAGGATACCCAGGCGTTATAGTGTTAATTATTAAATAAGAATATGGAACTGGCAAGATATTAACGTCGACCAAAAATATATTAGCAGAAAATTATAATTAAAAGAGGAGTATTTTTTATATATAACACTAAAATCAGGTTTCCATTTGGTCTGGGCGATTGTAACCATGTTTAAGGCTGCAACTAGACTTGATGGTACGAAGTATTGCCATAGCAGCTGCGCAGCAACAATGAGAGCAACAATCAGTAATATTAGCAGCAAAAAGAGATAGTAATAGCAATGACAATTCTGCCAAGGTATACCTGCGAAATACAATGTATAGTGGTCTATACATCCTATTTTATGTGAGATTAAAAATTATATAAAATAAAATGACATATACTAGCTACCAGATAAAATCCTTTAGAATGAACATGGGTGGGTGGGTGGGTGGGGAAAAGATATCGAAGCGCAAAACTTTAACTTGCTGCAGCTAGGCAAAGCATACAATGGCAGAATGAATACCCAGACCGAAGCACTGATCACAAGGCATGAAACAACCCCCTTTGATCGATATGACGTCACAGACTCCCCTCAGCGGATGTGGCCTGCATAATACATCCGGCGTTAACCTTGCTTAATTTAAATGTATTTAACCACATCAAGAGCTGATGTAATAATACATTGTCAATTTAACTAGTCTGCAAACCATAAATCTGATTTGCATACAGCACACACAAGACAAGATGAATCCAGACTATTTCACATCAGTGACCATGATTTAGTTGCAACATTTACAACCAAATGGATACCAGGTTATTAAGCAAATTTCTTCAAATTTAATTGCAACCCCCCCCCCCGTCATTTTCTTGAAAAAATTTAATAGCCCCCCCTTCTTGTCATTTATTTCTACATATGGCCCCCCCTTATTTTTTCTCCCCCCCCCTCCATAAATAATGGCCGGTCCCTAAGATAAAGAATAGAAAGAAAATTACGACTATGTTTACAAATATAAATACAATACATTACGTTACAATTACACTGTTTTTAACTTACATTTGTCCAAACCAGTGATAAACTTTAAAACCATAAATCCTAACTTGACTTTTCCCGGTTCAAAACATTAATTTTTAGCGTTTCTTTAGACTACTTTTATACGTACTTTTAACGTTCAACATGGCTTCCTTTTCGCGCGCTTTTTCTCAGTTCATCGCGGGCGACAATAATTATTCTACGTACGTCATGTTATTTTAGTCAAATCAACGTAACACCAACTATTATTTTTATTAGTGCTGTGCGCCGTAGCCTGCGGTGCAGACGCTTCGTATTTCATAATGAAAGGGTTTATGTGCGCCGGAGTTCTGCCGGAGCTCCGGCGGTTTTTCCGACGCCGGAGCCAAATTTTGTATGCCGGAGCCCACTGCCCAGAGTTACGTTTTCCCAGCTCCGGCAAAATGACAAGAAAACAATATGAAATGAGACAAATGTCAAACGATTGTTAGTTACTGCAAACTGCCAATTGCTGTTAATGAATTCATCATAGACTCAAACTGCCACAGCCCACACGAACAACGTCGAAAAGCTGTAATACGGCGCAACCGTAATAGCTGCAACTTACAAACGTCATGCTTTCATGAAGCCATCTGACTTAGCGCTACATACTGTAGTCTGTGTATTCATGCCTTGTAGAGAACGAAAAAGTACAAAACAAATAAATATCAACCTTTTGAAAGAGTACTTTGTTTGCGTGCGAACAATTGCGCTGTGGAGTCTGAGAGTGTTAGCGTCATGCCTCGCGTCATGTCTCGTGTCAAAGATTTTTCGAGGCTGGTTTCCATATAGATATTTTCTGCGTGGTTAAGTGTTTTCACTGTTTTGTTTCCTGAGTTATGTTATCTGATAATTAGGAAGCGCGAAAAGGGTTATTCATAATAATATTAATAAATGTTCTCTGATCGTAAAACATTTATTTAATATTTTATGATGGAGCCGGAGCTCAGAGCTGTAATTCGGCCGGAGCCGGAGATGAAAAACCGGAGTTTGCACAGCACTAAAAAATTTGGCCTTAGGCTTAGCAAAGGCGGGACCACGGGAAATTTTTCAAAAACATTCAAAAACCGCCTCAAACTAGTCCAAACGTTCTGAAAATTGTCAAAAACACTTCCTCTCATAAAAAAAATACTTTCGATCAATAAAAACATGACAGATTGTTTAAAATTTTTTGGTCAGATGCAAAGGAGGAACCACAGAGTCTTAGCAAGTTGGGGGCACAGGTGCCTTAGGCTTAGCAAAGGCGGGACCATAGGAAATTTTTCAAAAAATCAAAAACCACCTCAAACTAGTCCAAACAGGGCTCGAATTTTATCGCGGCAATTGCCGTAGAGGGAGAACAAAATGCCGTGAATCATTGCGGCAACGACGGCAATTTTTTGCTGTATAGTGCAATTTTTATACTATTCACTGTGCATTACTATTTTGGTACTTGAATTCAGATGTTGATCAAATCAATGCGTAAATCACTATTTTAGTCTCAGTTTTCTTCGAAAAAACAACACTAAAGAAATACGTAGACATGTTTCTAGCTTGTCAAAAATCCAAAGTAACAATAAAATTACAGTTTTATTACAGTAATTTGAAAAATGCCGTGGAAACTGCCAAAATTGCCGTAGACAGCGGTTACGTTCTACGGCAATTTTTAACGCCATTGCCGTCGATTGATTTCAGGGAATTTCGAGGCCTGAGTCCAAACGTTCTGGAAATTGTGAAAAACATTTCCTGTCATCAAAAAAAAATATTAAATTACTTTCAATCAATAAAAACATGTTTTAATTTTGGTCAAATGCACAGGTACCCTAGGCTTAGCAAACTAGTCCAAACTTTCTGAAAATTGTCGGAAACAATTCCTCTTATCAAAACAACTTCCAACTGATAAAAACAGCTTTGAGCAATTTGGGTGAAATGGAAAGGTTATAAGGTGGACCATGGAAAGAAAATTTTCATATCATTCTTGTATAATAATAGTATTTGCTAACAATACACAACTAATTGAAACTAACCTTTTCAAGTACTCCATCGGCAAATCCAACTGAACTATTTTACAACATCCCAAAATGACAACACGTTGGACTTGATTGGCTTGTACACATTGGTATTTTGTTACATAGTTGAATTGCTGTTGCCTAAGATGAATAAGATGAATTCATTTGATTAACTTCAATGCTCCCAAGTAGGCAGGGGGTTGCAGCTAGAAGGCTGTGGCCTGAAGTGGAAAAACACGACAAGATAAAAAGAATGTGGCTTGATTATTTGTATAAAACCATGTACTAGGTTCATAAAATAGAATGTTGCTACTAATTACAACAGTCAGAATATGCTTCTATTTATTTCTTAAAAAAAACAGTGTAAAATCTAGTTTGCAGAAGGTAATTCGGGTTAATTCTGTGATGTTCTTATGTTAGGTACACGCATGTACTGTATATAGTTTTTGCCCAACATTATAATATAATAATTATGCCGGCGTTGTATTTGGTCAACCACATATAGAACCACAGACATAGTCTATTGTTGGCAAGCATTACTGAAACTTGGGATATTCAGGGTAATAGACCTTTTTAAAAAGTCAGCCTTGTGACATAGTTTGCGGATAAAGGAAAACCCCACACAGCCATTTGGCTTGCCTGATTGGCCAAATGTCATATATGATATCATTGTATTTATCTGCAAACTACATCACAAGGCAGACGTCTATTGGCTAGTACACACTCTGAAATTTACAAGGCAGCACTCCCAAAATCTCATATCCAAGCTAAGACCCTGAAATTAGGGTCAAACAGTCAAACACATTTAATAAAAGTGAATTAACCCATTGAGTCGCATTGCACCCTGATGCACCCTACTTTAGTATTTTACTCTAGCTGTCTAATGATTTTACTCGTCAAGGGGAGAGCGCTGGCGGTTAATGGGTTAACTGGCCTATCTGCCCATGTGTCTAGTTAACCCATTGAGTCGCATTGCACCCTACTTCAGTATTTTACTGTCTAACGCCAGACGATTTTACTTGTCAAGGGGAGAGCGCTGGCATTTAATGGTTAAACAATATTATAATGTAAGGTTGTCTAATTAGATAATTACCTTGGTACGTGTATTTCAAATTAAAAAACTCATTAATAATTCATGAAGAAAACACAAAGAAAAATCATGTGTCGTATCTGTATATGTGATACAGATTCATGTTGATTTACATAGACTTTAACTTTGATTTTCTCAGCTTAGACAACGTTTATTTTTAAAATTACTTCTCCAATGAACTCATAAGATGAGTAGTTTTTTAAGCCATTTACAACATTCGCGTCCGTGTTGTATCGGATATACAAACTCTCTCCTTCGGCTCGAGTTTGTATATCCGATACAACACAGCTGCTCATGTTGTAAATAGTACTTATAATATCATGTACAGTATGTCTGATTAGTGTATTTGAATAAGACAATGTAATCAGTTAACAATTTATTCTTAAATAAAAAGTGACTGTATAAAATACAGCTTATATAGTGTCATAGAAATTGTTGAACCTTAGTTAAGTAGCACTGATAGTAGATGAATGTTCACAGTCTTCATTTGAGGATGAATTTAGACATATAGCATGCGTAATTACAGTCAAATCTGGTGTTCTGTTGCAGGCAACATTGCCGCGCAGTATTGCAATATTGATCGGCTGATTGCTCTAGCAAATTGTAAATAAAGCCCGATTGGCTTACTAGCACAAAACAAGGCATCTGACATTTGGGCACAACCTCTCGACAAATTGGCAACATACCCAATAATTGCAACTGTATGTAAAACTAGAGCAATCAGCTGATCAATATTGCGTGACAATATTGCCGGCAACGGAATGCGGGATTTGACTGTCATCATGATAGTTTGTATTTTAATTCAATACAACTTGTGTTGTATATACCGTACCATACAGTACATCAATAGTACAAAAACCAACTCGTCTCGGTTCCTGGTTGTCATGAATTTCTCTTGAAAAACTGTTTTATAATTATAATACAATAAACTCTTGAAAAGCAATTTATTACCAGCATATAAAATGCCTGAAAAACTGTCAAAACTTGGATAGATAGGGCGTAAAAAAAATACCTGTGGTTCCGGTTTCATATCGTGAAAAAATTAGGGTCGGTAGGTCGGAAATAATTTTTTTTTTAATATTTTTTCATGGTTTTGGTGGTTTTTTGCTGGGTGATTTGCAGTAGAGTCCCGACATCAGTATTAACTAGAGATGCGTATTTCCTACGGACAAATTTAGGCAATTTGGTTCAATAATTAGTGTGACAACAGACGCCATTTTGGCAGGCTGTACGAGCAGCCCGCAACCACCTGGAGAAAATAAGGTCGTACGGCCAATCGCGCTGAAAAAATAATAGGGTCGGCAGAAAAAAAATAGGGTCGGTCGGGAACCGGAACCACAGGTATTTTTTTACGCCTAGGGAGAGTGCTGTCACTCAATGTGTTAATCAGACTGCTCATGTGTGTAGTTAACCTATTAAGCTGCATCATGCCTTTATTGTGCTTCATACAAGAGATACATGTAGCAAGAGTTGGGTGTGGACCCCCAGGCAAAATTGTGGGGGGCCCTTGAAAAAAATCGAACTTTTTTTAATTGAAACATAGAGTTTATATTCATTTACATGCATAGTGAACCAGAAAAGTGTTAGATATTCAGTTAATATATCATATTTTACAAATATAGGCTATATAACAGTTCAAAAATATGTAAACAAAGCGTTTGTTACATAATTACATTTACGGACTTTTAATACAGCATCTTTACTGTATAAATAATTAAATTAATTTGCTCCAAAGTCGTATATTAAATTATATCAAAGAAAGACTACTTTATATAGGCATGTGATTTACGTAGAGATGTGAAATGGGTAGCAACGAGATGCATAAAACAACGCTAGCCACATTGCCTACAGACTCTACCGAAGTATAGCTTCGAGAGATCGAGAAGAGCTTTAAACTAAAAAATATTACGGAAAAGTGATGAAAACTGTTTAAAAACTTACCATTCTCTTTCATTCAAGCGCTGTCTCTTTATCCATTGTCGAATTTCCAGCATATTTTTTTATAATCCAGTACAGCGATGTATCATGTAGCGAAATTGGGCTATTACATTTAATACCCGTACCCCTCCCCCCCCTGTCGAGGACCTCATTTTCCAAGGGGGAAATTAGTAATTTTTTCCAGAGGGGTAATTGGGAAAAATGGAAGAAAAATGCTCTTTCCAGAGGGTTTAAAAAGTAAAAATGCACTTCCAGAGGGGGTTCAAGTCTCTTCCAGAAGGGTCAATTACACAGATTTTTTTGCATTCCAGAGGGGTAAAAATCCCAAAAGCAGAGGTCCTCGACAGGGAGGTTTGGTTTTTTAATGTCGGCCGTCTAATTTCACAACAAACATTTAACATCACAGTAAGTCAATGACTGCACGTATTTTTCTCTTTACTACACAATCCTTTTTCCCCGTCCATTGAGTTATAGTTTCCAAATCTAACAAGTCGCTATAACGTAAAATAAGCGGATATTTGTGAACAAAAATGCCCTTTCATGACACGAAGTAATTGGCGCCGTCTTGTCTTCTCAATTAACATTACAAATTTTCCCGCCAAAAACTCTGTGGCGAAGCGGCAGTCCCGTATGAAACTGACGTCACAGGTGTAATAATGTAAAATATTTCAAAAATACCAAAATACACACTAAATCCAATTTTAATCTATTATATTTACCTTCACTATTAACACATATTGTTCGACCTAACCTCTGAGCGACTGACCCGTTTACAGCACTGGATGTCCGTGGTTGCTCTAGTAAAGCTCAGTGGACAGTGAACAATTAAATTCACTCTGATGACTGTGGCTCGAGTTGACCCCCCCCCCGTCAAATTTATGACGTCATATGAAACCGAAGAATAGACCCTAACCAGTTTCATCAATTGACCCAAACCCCAGAA